ATTTGAAATTAAAGCACCGATCCCACCCCCTCCCTTTGAAATTCTATTTTTACCAATCCATTTGAACCCCTTAACATCATTAATTAATTCTCCCTTCAGAAATGTTTCTGCAACCCCAAAGATATGTACATTTTGAGTAGTCATTAACTTAACAATTTCTTGAATTTTAGACTGTAACCTATTAACATTGTTGAATGCAATATTTAGAGAGTAATTATTATGACTATTACTTCTTTTACCAACCTTCCTCTTTCGTCTATTCCCATGACCTCGTCTATGGCGCTTTTTTCCCCTTCGTTGTTTAATATTACTTATTGCTGGCCCATGAGAATGTGTTACAGTTATTTCTGAATTCTGATGGGGGACGTCAATTTCTGAATAAACTATATCTTTCATTTCATCTCGAAATAAAGTAAAGACATTGCTAGTGTTCACAATGCTGTTGCCGTTGTCAAAAATTTATCATAGCTCCAAAAATTTATCATAGCTCCAATAGGAACAATTAGCACAGTAGGTGTTAATCTTTTAGCATTCTTAATCCATGATTGCCTTCTTAGGTTTTTCTACTTTTGTATATTGTTAAATCATTTGATCTTGAGAATGTGTCCATGATGGACAAGAAACATTGATCTTCTTTTTTTGTCATACTTTAATTTATTGTAACTACTGTATACTTCCATGAGTAATTTGACCAACAACTCAACACATCATTATCAGGAAGTTTGTTTTTCTCATTACACATACCATGGCCATGTGTAATTCCCATTTGAAATCCATAAAGGTACAGTGTACTGGATAAAATTTACATTACAATAATGAACTGTCAGTGGAAAAAATTCTTTTTTTTTTTCAGACTACATTCACTTTTTTTTATATTACAGTAGTTTTAATAACAGTAAAAATACAACAACATTGACATTTTTAGGCAGTCGTAAATGTTTTTGAAAGAAATTAGCAATATTTGTACTAAATTTTAACAATATTTATTATCTATTTTATTATACAAATGTTATTATTATGATAAATTACACAAAAAGTAAATTGAGATTTATGTATATAGTAACAGTGGTAGAAAAAATAACATGGCAATTGATTAAAAAGGGCTGCCAACAAATAAATACAACATTTTTATGTTAATTATTCCATCATTGCTTTCCTGTACATAAACAAACATACCTAGTAGTCATAACATGATTGCTTTAATAAAATAGCAGAATAAAAATGCATAAAGAACAATATTGGATGTTTAATGTAAATTTTACAGTACCATACATTTTAATGCCATTTTAACATTTTTCAATTAAAAACTACTCGAACGAATGTAATCTGTTTAGTCATTTAAACAAACAAGGTTAACTCATGCTAATACACTACATACCACTGTACACCAAATTTAATACAGGCTGGGTATGCAAATCGGTACAGTGTTCTATTTATAATTTTTTTTTTTTTTTTTTTTTTTGTCGGATTGGATAGGAAATTATAGAAAGAGGCAGGCAGGAGCGGTGTATACTAGGAAGAAAGAGCTGAAAAAAAAAGCTCCAAGTGGATACAATATGTTTGTCTCTGAATACCTGTGCCAAGGTATATTGTATATTAAAATTTAAAAAATAAATTTTTAACTTTTTACAGTACCTAACATGTTTTCACATTTAATATTATTAATTTGATGTTTTTTATACCACTTTTGGATAAATAATAGTAGATCCATTATGTTTATCATTGATTTTCAAGAAAATTGTTTAAGTTTGTTGTTGCATCATTAATGTGCTGTGTTGTATAATTGGTAATCCATAAAAAGAAGCATTTCTTATTTAAGATACAAGAGCTTGTATGTAAGTAGGGTTTTAGGATACTTAATTATGGGGTTTACTTATTTAAAGATTGAAGTATTTTTTTCCTATCATTTCCATTATACATGTGTATGTTTGCAGTGTAAAACCCAAAAGATCAAAGAGTATTTCAAATAAAATCATAAAATATTATAAAATTAAAAAAAATAAATATAAATAAATATTTGACCATGTTAAGATTCAATATTTTAAGAATAATTAAGCTGCCATCAATAATCAGTCAATATATTCTGTATTTTGCCACTTCAAATATTCTGAAATCAAGTATTGATACTGTATTTATTATTTATACAGAACTGGCTAAAGGCACACCAAGACAAATTGCCATGTGTAATGCCTCAAAGGAGTGGAAGAAAATAAAACATCAGGGCAAAGATGAAACGTACGTAAATAAAGCAAAAGAAATAATTCTTCGAAGTCCAGAAACTATGACGGAAAGTCAAAAAAATTTGGCAATTACAAGAATTGTAAAGGACATAGAGGCAAAGGTAAATTTTGTATCTCAAGTTTTTATAATTCACTGTGCTTTAAATCAAATTATTGTTTGATCATAATATAATTTATTTCTACAGATTGAAGAATTAGGAAAGTTAGGCGGTGAGGGCCTTGCTGTTATATTTGTTCCAGCCTCAGGGAAGTTATTAAAGACCGGAACCACAGAAGCCATTAAATATCTAGAGACGTCTGATATCGATGTTAAGTTTTCAAAATTTACAAGTGGTAAGTACTGTAAACAATTACTTCATACATCGTGGAACAGTTATTTTACCTGCCAACAGTCTAAAAATCACTTTTCAAGCAACTATTATTGAAGAATTAGGAAAGTTAGGCGGTGAGGGCCTTGCTGTTATATTTGTTCCAGCCTCAGGGAAGTTATTAAAGACCGGAACCACAGAAGCCATTAAATATCTAGAGACGTCTGATATCGATGTTAAGTTTTCAAAATTTATAAGTGGTAAGTACTGTAAACAATTACTTCATACATCGTGGAACAGTTATTTTACCTGCCAACAGTCTAAAAATCACTTTTCAAGCAACTATTAAGCAGTTAAAATGCCTCCAGTATACAGTTTTAAAGTTGAACTGACAGTGAGGCTAATACTCTTAATATGGTACTGTAATGAATTTTATGTTAAATGAACGAACTGTAAAAAATAAAAGTAAAATCAGTAGCTAGATATACAGTGTAATTATTAAAAATTTTTAAGTAATCGAGGGCAGTTATTTTTTTAATTGTGGTATTTATAATGAGCATTGTTGTTCACTCTTGATCATAGTATTTCTGTAAGCATTAAACTTGATACAATAATGAATAACCAAATAAAGTGCCACCCACGAAACCCTTCCAATGTTTTTTGGTTTTTTTTCCATCGCTGTTTTTAATCTATCTTTAAACCATATTTCTTCTAATATTAACCCCGGGTAACTATTCTTTGAAGGTGTTTTTAGGGGGGTTACTAATTATTAGTGTAGGGGGTTACTATTACTAAGCTTATTTTTTACACTTGGTAATTTTCATCAAAGGACTATCATCAAATTTCATGCTAAAATATGTTCCATGTTTTGAATTAAAATTGGAATATTGCAGTTTTTCAAATGCAATCACATTGTAAAAGTGCCTATATTATGGATTAAAATATGTTAAGGAGGAAATTTAAAATGTTGATTAAGATTTGGATATTATTTTTGTAAATTTTGTTTGTGCTTCTAATAGTAACACCTGGGGTTACTATTTGAGTAGGGGGTTACTATTATAGATTAAACTTTAGAGGGGTTTACTATTAGAGTAGGGGGTTGCTATTAGAAGAAATACAGTACTTGTGTACAGATCTGAAACACTAACTCAAAATATGATGCTATTTTGTTTTTCAAGATGATCATCCGACATGTGTTAAAGACAAGAAGAAATTAAAAAAAGAGGTACAACAGCTATTTAATGAAAGATTTTGTAAGTAACCTCTACTTTTATAGTAATAACATTAAACAAAGTGAATGATATAGTTTAATTAACTGCTCTTATTACTCAACAAAGTTTTAATTAACTGTTTTAATTGTAAGAAGATCAAACGTCATTACTGTAACATAAAATTTATAACATTTGTTTTATTAATAATATTAGTTTCAGCAACAGGTAGACCATGTGTACCTTACCAAGAAATACGACAAGGAAGGTGGGAAATATCTGGCCTTCCAGATGGAGTAATATTCAAGAAGCCATCCAGTTATGGAATTGCTACATTGACTGCAATCTTAGAAAAGCCAAATATAACATTTACAGGTAATGACACATGAACATGGCAAGCTCATATTTTTTTAAAATCTAACAAATATAATACCTAGCCTTGTATTAATCATACTATTTAAACATATTTCAGTAAAGAAAAAATTACTGAAATGCATTACTCTTTTGTTTTTAGAATGTACAAATAGAGAGAAAAGTGATGATGAGAATGATGCTAATAATGTCAATGCAAGAGAAGACAAGGAGAATGAAGCTGACACTGAAAATGATGAGAGTGATGGAGAAGAAAATGAACCTGAAATTCAAGGTTTGTTTGGATATAGATCTAAAATAAAGTTTTTAACATTCAAACACAATTTATAGGTTTCTAATTAATGGAAGTTTTATTTTCTCACGATGTAAATCAATATGCATTTCTCACTTCGAATTAAACCTTTATGTAAAACAATCGAAATTTTTTATTAGTATTATATGTATAAAATTTATAAAACATTCATAATATATATAATTTTTTTGATATAATTCATTACTGTATGTTTTTAACCAAAACTGTTCACATTTTATAAGGAACAAAAAGCTCACATTGTATAGCAGTTGTAAAGTTTTGTGAATATTATATATTAATAATATTAATATTTTTATTTTCCCATAATTAAGTCGATATCAACACTGTTGATTCTTCAAATTAAACTTGTTATTTTGGATGGTTCTAAAATACATAATGCATAGCTTAACAAAATATGTCTTTGGATAAATTTTAACTGCTTGTGTGTTGAACAGTATAAAGAGTACCTTGTTTATTTTTTTCTAATTTCTGAATAAGGAAAAATTAATGAAATGCCTTTCTCTTTTGTTTTCAGAATGTACAAATAGAGAGAAAAGTGATGATGAGAATGATGCTAATAATGTCAATGAAAGAGAAGACAAGGAGAATGAAGCTGACACTGAAAAAGATGAGAGTGATGGAGAAGAAAATGAACCTGAAATTCAAGGTTAGTTTGGATATATAGATCTAAAATAAAGTTTTTAACATTCAAACATAATTCGTAAGTTTCTAATTAATAGAGAGTCAGAGGAAATAAGAAAAACAAAGTAATTTTGATGAGCCTGATGCAAAAATAAGTGCTTGAATCCCTAAGCACAAAATGAGGTAAAAAAAGTTCTACAGCACCTTAGTAAACCTATACGTATACACACACCACTCAATTCTTATTCAACACCAGAGATAAAAAAAGTAATACACCTGTGTGTATACAGTATTTACTTGTCAAAATGGAAATTAGAAATTCTGAACTTTACAATAGAGTACTTGATAGCAAGAAATTACACAAATTCTAGTACATTTCAGTCTACGATTGGTTTTTAATTTCATAATCATTTACAAATTTTTTTCTAACACTAGACGTCTATCTCATTTGTTAAAACTCATATTTATTTTTTATATTAATTTATTATAAATGACCTTCTTCAGATACACTTGAAAATGAAAGTGTTAAAGTTAAGGCATTTAAGAATATTGCAGTTGATAAGAGTGAGTGCTGTTAATGATAGAATTGAGCCACCTTGTAAAATAATTTTTATATGTTAACGATAATTATAGTGATAATTAAGTAGTGACAATTTGAAGTTCATGACGGTGATTGCAACATTCAGCTTGCATAGATTAAAAAAATGACAAAAAAAAACCAAATGTATTCCTTAGTATGTGTAAAATACGTAATATACACTATGATACAATGACAAATAGTTTGGTAATTAAAGGTGTAAAATCTAGGGTAAAATAAATACATTGTAGCAACAAAATAAATGAAGAAAACGTTCTAATTAATTTTTTTTTTTAAATTTCAGTGACGGATTTAGAACAACTATGCGAAATTGTTGGAGTTGATGAAACCGTTTCAGGTAAGGCAAGACTTTTTTTATACCTTTTTTCGCAAACCTGCCGGTCCAGAAAATATGGATTTTCAGATATTTAAAATTGAATTATTGGTTTGTTAGCAAACTCGCCACTAAATGAAAAAACCTAATTTTATTTTTATTCTGCCCTCCTCCTTAAAAACAAGGATTAAAAAAGTTTTGCTCTAAAAGAAAACTTGATTGGGCAAGAGTCTTATACTTAGGTTTTGTGAACTCTGATTCAAAATAAAACTAATACTGTGTTTTTGTGAGCACTCACTTTGTTGAAGAATTATAACAAAGTAAACCTGAAAGTTGTTTTTTTTTAAATGTTTATTTCATTATCTTCTCAGTAATTATGAAAATTATACATAAATTTGCCCTTTAACTTAAGTAAATCTTCCACCCACTCACCCATCCACAAAAAAGATAAACTTGCTTGGTAAACCTTTGATTTCAACAATGGTATCCAATTTTAAATTTTAACCAAAATTATAGTATGATCAGATACAAAACCAGTACCTTTGTTAGACGATGAATCTTTATAATTTACCATTCAATCACTCTAATGTGTACTTTTTATTTTATTACAGATGTCTACACTGTAGAAGAGATAAGGAAAAAGAGGCGAAGAAAAGGCAAAACAGAATACCTTGTGAAGTGGGAGGGATACGAAGAATGTACCTGGGAGCCGTATAACAATATTCCTTATAGTTTGAGAATGTCAAAGTTAAAAAAGAAATTTAAAAAAAAATGGTTTGCGAGGGATTACAAAAAAAAAATTCTTTTTTTTAATTCGTTTTAATTAGTTGGTAATATATGCTGTGACAGTTTCCTTTTGCAGTATTACAGTGTACAGTATAATAAGGCCTAAAAAATTGTTATGTTGCCCAAGCCAAAGACAATTTCAAAAGAGGGTCGGTTGTTCGCACATATTATAGCGATTCCATTTACGACTACGTAAGGTTTGCCTAGGGCTAGCCTATTGTTAATTTACTAATAAAATACTTAAATATGACAAATTTTACAGTGATATTGATCATCTATAATTGTATTCAAAATTCATTTTACCACATCACTGATTTCCAATAATAGGTACAAAATTTCTAGAGCACGTATCAGGGCATACAATGTTGATTCTGACTTTAGCACAAAGGTATTTTCCCTATTCTTCGTCACTTTACACTATGATTCTATTAGAGAACACATGGTTTTAGAACTATTTTAAATGTCTGTTTTTGTAGTGTATTTAAATTAAAAATCATATCCATTTTTTAAAAAAATTCATAAAACAACTGATATTATTATTATCCAACCAATAAGGGAATACCTTGCAAATTTTGGCGTCATGAAGGTTTTAAAGTTAGCGTAAAAACTCATCTGTGTTGTTAATAAAAACCTTGTATTGAAAAATTGAACTTATGTTCTCAACACATGAAAATTGACGTACCTCTAATTTTCAGCTGACTACTTCAGTCTTCTTCAGTACATCTCCTGAAGAAGGCTGAAGTAGTCAGCTGAAAATTTGAGGTACGTCAATTTTCATGTGTTCAGAACATAAGTTCAATTTTTCAATACAAGGTTTTAAAGTATTAGTTGCCAATTGTGAAGACGGGAGGATCTGTCCAAGACTGGCATACATATGCAAAGATTTGGCTAAATTTTAAGTTACTCTCCTGATACTATTTAATCATTTTCCATCAAAATATTACTGACAGTTGAATAAATGCATTGGATTTAAAAAATTTGAATTTTTAATTTTTCATAAAGCAAAAAAAAAAAATTAAATTTTATGGTCAGTCGGGCTTGGGGAACATAACAATTTTTTTTAGTCCTAATGTAAATAACAACTGTTTTCTTTTTATATAATTTAGCTTGGTTATAATATAGAACATATGCCCTCGATTTATGTAAAATTTAAGGTTACTGTTAATAATTACAATACATATAAGTATGCTACACTAAAAGCATCATAATTTTAAATGGGGATGAATTTACACATGATAAAGAAATAAAAATAAAGATTAAAAACTCATTTATTAGTATTGTATGTATAAAATTTCCATCATATATATAATTTTTTGATTTAGTATAGAAATTGGGGAAACTTTGCTTTTCAATAATTTTAGTACCTTTAATTTTACTACCAGGTTTTAACCAAAACTGTTCACATTGTAATAGGAACATGAAAGCTCCATACATTGTGTAAGCAATTTTAAAGTTTTGTGAAGACACAACACTGACGAATTATTTCACTGTATGTTGTTCAATATGAAAAATTATTCTGAAAATATTTTTTTTCTTTTGCTTAAAAGTATGAAATTAATAAAATATAGTATTTCATCCAGGAGCTTTTCTAGTTTTTATATGAGTTTAACCAAAAAAAATCTCATTACTTTCATATGTCTAGCATATACATTTACGTCCACCAGTATAAACATAAGTTACACAGACTTAATTTCATCCTAATTTTGAAAAAAAATTTTTAATGTACCCAATTACATAGAGTATAAATATTACATTAAATATGTACTGCCACTCAAACCAATCACTGGAAAATGTCAAATCAAGTGGGTAATATTGTGAATACATAAAAATTATAAACATTCCACAAAAAAATGATTGAAAAATATTCTTTTTTGTTTATTAACAGAAAAATTAGTTTTAAAACCTCGACGTCAATCATATTCAATGCGTGCACACTGTGTACCATAAGCAACAGTTTAGGCACCGCCTATTACCCACTGTTTCGTCAATTCGCTGTAGGCATCACGCTTGACTTCATTCTCTTAGCTGGTGAACAAATTTAAGAAACTGCAATGAAGAGTTATAAAAATGCCTATAAATCAAAATTATTTTTTTTCGTTCTGCATTTAAGTGAAAGTTAATAACTTATATTGTTCTTTCATATTATCACTTAATATAAAAAATAATTTTTATTTGATTTTTTGAGTGGCAGTGCATCTTTAAACATCAAATGAAAAGATGATGACATCATTTTTCAGACCAATAGGTATATAGCCTAGGCCTAGGCGGAGAAAAATAAATCCACTGTGGTAGCAAATCAAATTAAGTAGCAAATTTGACAATGACTATCAGGCATAATTATTAAATAGTACGTAATATTACTTTTACATTTGATTTTTGTTGTTCTCTGCACATATTTCGATGTAAAACGATGCCTCGCATGAATCGTTGTTATGCCTCGCACTTTTGGGAATGGTAAAACGATGCCTCGCATGAATCGTCGTTTTGCCTCGCTGCCTTGCATGCCTCGCTGCCTCGCACTTTAGTACTACCCGTAACATATTTTAAAATATTTGTTAGGCCTATACATAGGCCAACATTTTACTTGCTAAATTAATAATAGAGATTTCCTGTCTTTCGGATTCTGTAAACATGGCATAGTAATTTCATTTCACTTCCCTCCCATTTTGAAAGTCCAGGAATAGGCCTACTAGCCTCCTAGCTGGCTTCAATTTAAATTTTTGAGCTAGGCCTAGGCCCTACTAGCAGGGCACAGGAATTCACGGTATTACTATAGTTTCCCATACCGTTTGGTTACCGTGACTGAAAGTCCGGTCCTAGGATAGGCGGCTAGTCTCTAGTAGGCCCCTAGTCTAGGCTAGCCATATAGGCCTATGTCTAGCCTAGGCCCTAGCCTAGATGCCAAACCCAATCCACCAATCGTAGTGAAACCAAATGCAAGTCCTCTTTCGTGCTAATCTTAGCACCAGACCTACAGTATACAATTTTTGCATTATCGAATAAATGTTATGACTTATTTATATCTATTGACTGTCTACTATAACATCATAATAGGCTAGTAACTATCAACCATGAATTGGGACGAATCAACTAAACTAAGAAATACACCCTGTCGCTCTGTGATGATATCGAACGAATGCGACCAATGACGTGACAGCAGGATCAGCAAGTGTACACACTTGTAGTACAAAGTATTCTGTAGTGTCTCCAGACATGGAACAGCGTACTCCAGCATATAGAGTTGGTTGCTGTCACTGTTTACAGACGAGGAACAGCCAGGAGTTCCTTGTCTCTAGACAGGAACAGTACAATAATCGGGTGGAATTTTGAGAGGGGAGCGCAAGGATTTAGTAAATCGCAGACTTGTGAAACATTGTGAATTTATAATGGTTATATGAATGCACAGCATAACATTGTAGGCCTTTTGGTATTCAAATCATTAAAGCGACAGGCATTGATTATAATACATTAAAATATCTCTATTTTACAGAAATGACGTTCTTGGGCGACGCAAGGTACGGCGTTAAAGTGCAAAAATTGAAGCTCCGTCGTTGCGAAATGTTCGCGAATTCTAGAGAAAGGTTATCTCGAGCTCTGATTGAGCTACTGATAACCAAAGAAGACTGCGCCACAATGAAGATTTATGGACATGCCAAGGGCAAAACGGCCCTTGAAGAAAAAAAAAAAGAAGGGCCCTCAGAAGTGAGTAGATGGACAACAGTTATCACCTTTGTTTAAATAAACATGCATGATTTAAAATTGTTCCTTTTGCTGTGATTAATAGTGTTACCTAGGCCTGCTGTATAATTTGTTCATTCATCTTTTTTCTCGAAATTGTTTCATACTACTGCTAATGGCTACACCATTTAAAAAGCAATGATAGGGTCACATTTTAAGGGCTTATTGGAATCTCCGTTGAAATAACACTCATTTTCTATTCAAACACAAATTTTCAGAAAATTAGGTAACGTTTTGTAAAAAACTTTTCGAAACATTAATCATGTCAAATACTTTAATTCACTTCCTGATGTCATATCATAAATTGTAATTATTATTCAGACGAAATTTACCTCTTTTATTATATTTACTTTATTTATTTATTTATTTTTTTTTGCAGGTCTCATGTTTACAGTATTTACACGGAAACAGATGAGAGCAAAAAACAGCAATCATGGGATGAGATTGTGAAAAAATTAAACGATAAAATTAGAGCAATTCGTAACAATAAATATAAGATAAAAATGTAAAAAAATCAATGATCATCAATAATTAATTAATAAATAAATCAACCAATTAATCAAATAGGCCTAATCAGTTAATATAAATTAAACCAATCAATCACTTAATCAATTAATCAATCAATCAACCGATCGTTCTTTGGAAATTTAAGTATTTTGTTGATTACCACAGCTGTTGTGAATCTTTTTTCTTCTTCTTCTATAGATACATGTGTAAACCAACAAAAAGATGAAACAGGTCACAAAATATTATCATCATCTATGGACGGCCTAATCCAACAATCCTGATTGCAATCCAAGTTTTTTTTTATTTCGAAAGAACGGACCCTGCCGAGCTGCCGATAGGCATATGAATTCGGGTTAAGATTCCAATATGGTCTGGAGAGATTCCCGAACAAGATCGCGCTCCCGGTTGGTATCCAGATATATCGGGACCCTGACTAATGATGACTGCAATCCCAGTGGGATCCCGTCGAAATATACAGATTCCGGTCGTGATCCCAATATACCATGTGAATGTCGGTGAATGATCTGAATATCCCAATCGCAATCTCGGTTATTATCCCAACATAGCGGGAATCCCGACCAAATATCCCGGTGGGATCCCGTCTGAATATCCCGATCGTGATCCCGATTGGGATTCCGTTATAGCGGGAATCCCGACCAAAAATCCCGGTGGGATCCCGTCCGAATATCCCGATCGAGATCCTGATTAGTATCCCGATATACAGGGAATCCGAACTATCCCGATCCCGGTTAGGATCCCGATATACCGGGAATCCCGACCAAAAATCCCGGTGGGATCCCGTCCGAATATCCCGATTAGGATCCCGATATACCGGGAATCCCGACCAAAAATCCCGGTGGGATCCCGTCCGAATATCCCGATCGAGATCCCGATTAGGATCCCGATATACCGGGGTTCCCGACCAAAAATCCCGGTGGGATCCCGTCCGAATATCGCGATCGCAATCCCGATTAGGATCCCGATGTATCGGGAATCCCGACTAAAAATCCCGGTGGGATCCCGTCTAAATATCCCGATAGTGATCCCGATTAGGATCCCGATATACCCTGATTCCCGCCGGGAATCCCGACCAAAAATCCCGCCGGGATCCCGGTCGGGATCCCGGTGTTTTTTTTGGTGGGGATCCTCCACGGACAGATCAAGGTAATTTTGAGCACTAGTTACTAGATTATCTAGTGTGGCATCAGCCGGTATTGACATAGCAACCGCTGCTCTACATTTAGGTGGTAGTGTTGCAATAAATTTATTTTTTATCTGTGGATCTGCGTATTATATTCTGTGTGCTGCCTGTTTGATACAGGTAATATGCCTTTCAGCACTATCCCCTGTCTGGTAAGTGATTGAGTCGTACTCCCTAATGTGGGCGTACACTGATTTGTTTTTGCTAAACCTAATAATAAATTGAGTTTTCAAGCTATCCAATGTGTCAAATGTCTTTCCTTGGATCCATAGCCTAGCCTGACCTTGTAAACTACGCTTAAAAATGCTAATGACATTTTGTAATGCAGCATCATCTGCAGGATTTTGTAGCGTATGGGCTTCTAAGTAGTCCATAAACGAAAGAAAGTGCGCACTACATTGATCATGGTCTGTTGTTTCACCATCATAGCGTTTAGGTAGGAAATCTGTCTGCCTTAATTGAGGGGGCTTGTGGCACTTGTGGTGCTTCGTCTACCATTATGATTAAATTAGCAAATTAGATTTTAAAAAAATATGGTAATGCAAATACATTAACTAAACTCAATTGTTCAACGGAAGCAGCAAATGCAATGATTGAAAATACACTCCAAACTCTTTCACACAATGATGGAATTTAACAATGTATTCAACTTACCCATTTACTTCATTCTTGATAAACAAAATGCAATTTTCAAGCAAACAAAAGTTCAGTAAAGAAATGAAATTTAAGGGAAATTAAATGTTCAAAGTTAAATGTTAAATGTTCAAAATTTAACGTTGGCCTAAAGTTCAAAATTTAGAGCGTTTTCTATCGTCATGGGGTGAAGTCGGCTTGTCTCGAATCCTAATAACTTTCGGTGATCTGTCGGCTTGTCTCGAATCCTATAATAAGTTTGTCATCTGTCGGCTTGTCTCGAATCCTAAAAAGTTTGTCATCTGTCGGCTTGTCTCGAATCCTAATAAGTTTGACATCTGTCGGCTTGACTCGAATCCTATTTTGTGTCTGTTTCGTTTGTTACGTTGTAGGATTTCGGCTGCTAATTGCAGATATGCCTAGCAATATGTGATTTGCTTGTAGTTGTTGCGGTATTTGAAGAAAACGTTTATTCATTTCCAAGATTCATGTCATTTAGAAAGGACAAACAATCTGCTTAACCGCAATTCGGGTAGCTTTTAGTCGTTTGGTGCGTCCTCAATTGTTTGGCGATATGTGTTCAGCTTTGGAGAGGAGGTACCGTGAAATCAATGATTAGGGTCTTCCCCCATGTTAAATATCGGTTAGTTGTTGGTGACTTTAATGAGTAGTATGACACAGTTCCTTTTAGTACACTGCAAACTTTTTATTCACACAAACTGTACGTTGGTTACAATTAGTTAAACTCCAGGTTTCAGATGTTAGAGAACCCTTTTAGAGTGGAGTCAGCTCAGCCCTGTACTTTTCTTCTGTGTTGAATCTAACTACTGACTACTCACTACTACTGGTTACTGATCATTGCTGATCCAGTGATAGTGGGGTGTTTGCCTAATATACTTTAGGTAATGGGGGTGTGTCTCAAGTAAGTCACCCCATAATTTTAGAGTTTCTGATTGGATCATAGAAAAATTCTTTCTCTATGATTTAGTAACTTGTTTACCAAAAAACTGCTAATTAAGATGTATCACTAACTTCAGAGCTTAGGCTCAAAACTGACAATCATAGATTCATAGTGTGAGAAAGGCCAAGTCCAACTGACTAGGATAAAGTTATACAAAGTCCAGTTATATTATTAGATTATCTGTATACTCAAATTGACCATTAAAACTGTCAATCCAATTTAAGGCATTTATCAGGTGAAGGGTATCGATTCCAATGGTTATGCAAGTTAATACCATTGAACCTTAATACTACATTACATTAACTGCACATTAAAGTAATTTAACATTATATTTATGTATTAGGAACAAGCAATGGAAAGCGACACTTTAAAGTTTGGAATGGGGCCAACTGTTTATTACAATATTTCAATATATTATTTCAACTTGCAAATCATAAACCTACTTAATTTTATTTAGACAATTTCATAAACTTTCTTCCTGCAGATAAATATAATATCCAAGTTGCTGGAAGCTTGCAAAAAAACACTAGATGAGCAGGCAATGGAAATTCCAACCAAGTATGCCAAAGAGTTGTCATATAAAGCCAACGTGATGGAATCCAAATTCGTTCCACTTTTCACAAAATTTTCAACAGTGGAACAAAAAATCAATCATACTCGTCCGATTTCAGATATGATACAAGAAATTGGTGGGTATATTTTCCTAGCAAGGACAAATTAAAAAAATAAATATATAACAGGCCTAAACTGATACATTTCAACAAACAAGCAAGGAATGTTTAGAATCTGAAATGAGACAAATAATATAATAATAAATATTAACATCCCCGAGATACATGACATACATACATGAGTACATTTTGATTATTTTAATTTAAATTGTAAATTATCAAAAATTTAGACCATTAAATTTGATATTATATAATAATGCCACAATTGTATCTTCATCATCAGGTAATGAAGAATGGAGAATCTGGGATCATACTGCAGTCAAATCACAATCCTTAAATGATTTCTTACAGACAATTCGACTGCATAGATACAGAAGTACATTATTATCATGGTGTAAAAGGAAACACAGTATTTAAAATGTCATTAACTTTGTACACACAAGCAGCGATTGATTTTTGAATCAATGTAATGTACAGTATCTAAATTTTGTACAAACAATAATACTATATCAGGGGTGACATTTTGAAATGAAATAACAGGAGGAGTTTTATTAATAGGCGGAGGTAAATGTCGCAGAGTGACATCCGTGGGCTATTTGGCCCGAGCGGAGGTGGGTTTGTGAGGGGGTGCCCCCCCCCTCCCGACCTAAGAAAAAAAAATTACTGTAAGATGCCATTTAACAGTGTTTGAATTGGCATTTAACAGTGTTGAATTTTAACTTTTGAATTGTGTTGCCTGAGCGGGGGTGGGTTTTGGATGGGGTGTCCCCCTCCCTACCTAAGAAAAATAATTACTGTAAAAATCCAAGCAGGCCCCTTATTATTATATTTAGATAATATAATATCATGCTGACTCCAAAAAGACTATAAGAGAAGTCATGATTCAATATTTCGTTCTTTATTCGAACATCTTGTAAGATACCATAAAAGTGTTGAATTTAAGTTTTGAATTGTGTTGCAATGTTCGATTTTAGAATGTATTAAGCAGAACACTGTCCTTCGTCAGGGATAACTTTTCTATAATTTGTTTTTATTTATTTATCAGCTACACAAACAATATATTTGTCTTGCACAAAAAAAAAAGTTATTGAATACATGTTCTTTTTTCTAAATATTGTATTTGTATACAATGGAATAATAATCTGCATTGCTACAGCCTTCGAAATTAGCGTCGGCATTCTTCAAGTGCCTGCAGCTAACGACGGCACTAATTTTATTTTATTTTATTCAATTTAAAGGTGAAAAAACACAAAAATATACATAATAAAACAACAGTACAATCAGCACCTGAGGGTAGCCATAAGTGGGATCAATTCAAAGAATTGCACTGTGAAGTGGCTTTACTTTTCCGCCATCTTTAATTGCTACATCATGACGGTCGGCACTAGATTCCATCCCTCAAAATGACATGACGTCACATGTCGTGTATCTTCGGTTGTTTTCACAAAAGTTGTTTCTCAGATCATCTCCGACCAGATTGGCTCTTCAATGGAATGGATCATGGATTCACAAGCATGGCAGATGATACTGATAGTAGTGATAGTGACCCGTGCACATGGCCGAACAAATTTCAAGGCTCAAAAAACCAGTGTCCACCTTCCAAATAAGAAACCCTACTTCCATCGTCCTCAGATGCTGTCTCTTATACACATCTAGATGTGTATAAGAGACAGCCTATCGGTAGGTCCCCTTCGAGGCCCCTAGAATTCAGGGGCCCTGCGGACCGCCGCATGAGAGAGCATAGGCGTTACGCCACTGGTTATAACCACTTCAAGTCTAGCACAGTGGAGTAACAGGCGGGGAAGGGGAGAAG